GGGGGGGGGGGGGTCGGTCAGGTTAATGATCTGAACCCAGCTCCTGCTTGAGCGCAGCGTCCGTACACCGATGCTCCTCGGTTCGACCCCCAGGGAGAGACGAGGACAAAGCTGCAAATTTAACCCACCTTGACCGGGCCTGAAACCCCGAGCAGGTCAGCGCTTTGCTTTGAGAGGCTTTAAAATATCAAAAAAAAAACCCCAAAAAAGGCACCAAAAAAATGGCCTTTTTGGGGACAGCGCCGGCGTCGGGGAAATGCCACCGTGGGGATGAGCCCACCAAGCCACAGCGGCACGAGCCTCTGGCCGTGTCCAGCTCCAGCCCTGCCGTCTCAAGCTCATCTGCAGAGGAAAAACCAGTTTTTATTTGTTTGTCAGTAAATTAGGCGGCTGGGAGGAAGCACACCCCTCCCACACGGGACCGGGGAACGTGAAGGCAGCTGAGTAAAACAAACCCGAGGAAGCCTGGCATTTTAGGCCACTTATTTAAGGTTTGTTTGTTTATTTAACCGCGCGGCGAAAAGGAGCAGTGCCCAAATCCGGGAGGATTTCGGGGCAACGCTGCAGCCAGAGGGATGCGATTCCAGCAGGACCTTTAGTTCAGGCCTAAAGCCTGAACCCACTGGTTGGTTTAACAGCAGCCAGGCTAGAAGACGGAGCGGGATGAAGTCGGTTGAATCGAGAGGCCGAATCCTCGGGGAGACGGGGGACACCCCCAGCACCCACACGCTGTCCCTGTCCCGCAGAAAGGGAACGATCCCGGGACGTACAGTGACGCCACCGAAACCCTGCCCGGGAGCCGGGGCCACTGCGGGGTGGATCTGGTTTGTTGGTTTGTTGGTTTGTTTTTTTTTTTTTCCCCCACTTTCACTACGTTCGGGTGGCAATTGTGGCCGTTTCCTTCCATTTTCACCTCCTGAATCTGCTTCCGACAGGCTGCCCGGTGCGAAACTCAACAGCTCCCGAGACAATCCCCTTTCTCCGCGCAGGAAATCCCGACTCCAGCGCTCCCGCACCCCGCTGCGTCCGAGGCGCTCCCTCCTCTCCAGCTTTGTGATTTTCTGACTAAATTCCTGATCCGTTTGGGAAGTTTTTCTCTGCTCCACCCCAGTCCCCCCTTTAAAAAACGGGGCGGGGAGGCGGGGGAAATCCGGTATCTTTGCAATTCTCCCGTTTTACCTGCTCACCTCGGGGGTCTGATGCTGCAGCATAACCCAGCGCTGCCCCAGGCTGGGACAAATCCTGATCTGCTCCACGCGTGGGCAAACACATTCGTTAGGAGTCAACGAAGCTGCAAACACCCAGCCAGCAGGTTGATGGGGTTGACGAGCCAGGAAAATGTTACCTTGCAGCCCCCCCGATGGTTAAAAAGTCCCCCTGGGGCGGGCGC